AGAGAGAGAGAGAGAGAGAGAGAGAGAGAGAGAGGGAGAGAGCGAGAGAGAGAGAGAGATAGAGAGAGAGCGAGAGAGAGAGAGAGAGAGAGAGCCACAGCGGCGTGTAATGAGAACCTTTATGCTGATATTTGCTTTGATTTTCTGGGCCTCGACCATCATCTCATCGGGATTCCAGGTGTCAGATTCCGTCCTGAGCTAGAATTATCGAGCAACGGAAGCCTAGACCTCGCGGAAACAGGGTTCTGGTATATTCACAATAGTATATTAGCTAAACCCTGTTCGAATAGTGTATTCGCAGTGTAATATGAGAGAATGTTACCGTCCATTACAATGCTCGTGCTCTCCCGGCAGTGTCAGTGTCGCGCTGCGGGGCAAGACCCACAACAGCGGCATGATTTTTCTGGCGATTGCATCTCTTGGAACTCGGGTCGAGCTCTACGAAGCTACAGGTACTAAAGAAGTTCACGCCATTGAAGACTATCAAGTGACTGAGCTCTCAAGCACAATCAGGCTAGAAGAACGAAGTCCTCGGCACCGAAACAGATAGGGAGTGCTACTCTCCTTGCCTTCATACCAGCAGATTGCAGCAAAAGAGGGGATGAAATTGATAGGGTCACTGGCAAAGTTTCAAAGCCTATCAAAATTGGGTGGGCGCTGTGAAGGAATATCCTGGAGGCTTCCATGTGGGGTGCTTCAGAACTCCAGTGGATGCATCAAGTAGCATCATCTCCGGAGCTCTTCCGTTCGGGGTCGGTGGTGACTGCTCCACTTGCACCTGACACAGGGAGTGACCTACTATAGGGGCCTTCATGACTAGAAGAGGGTTTTGGGGGCCAACTACACTATCATATTTTTAGGAACCGCCAAAATAGTTTCGGCAATTACTCAGGGCCCCTATATCATAGTACCCTTATAGTAACCCTTATAGACCCCTTTAAGAAACCCTTTAAAGGCGCCCCCCAAGAGGCGCTTGAAAGCCTAGACAGCACCTCCGGGGGGTCGTGGTTATCTGCGATGTCATCCTCGTCATCCTTCGCAGAGGCGGTGAGCTCGGGTACCCAGACACTGCAACATCCCTTAATTAGAGAAAATATACCTTAAACTATAATAGGATCCCTAGTATCCCTAGTATGATTTAAGGAATATTCCTTAAATTTAAAGGATATTGGCATCTTCGGGTACCGGAGCTCGAGAGGAAGACTCGGGCGGGTGGCTGCATGGGCGGGGGTATGAAGACGACACAACGGGACTTAGAGACTTAGAGAATCTTGCTAGAAGATACTGGAGCTGGGCCATGCATATCAGACCTTGAAGGTGTGCTTTTCAACTGGACCATCGAAACCTCACTCATCGCAAGACTTCAATTGCCGGTCCCAGGACATGCGCGATGGCTGAGTACTTGGTGGAGGCATTCGAGGCATTGAGGTCTCAGCCTTTCGCGAGCGAGGCTTTCGAATCCAAAGTTGAAGGTCTACGGGGTCGAATTGGCGGCCGTAAACAAAAACCAGGGCTAGGTGAGGTGTTTGTAAATGAGCAGGAGCGGTGAAGATTCAGCGCGCATTCTACTGCACTGGGACGATAAACTCCCCGAACCTCCCATCCTAAACCAAAAAAAGGATAGCAAACACAACGGTACGATGACGGCGTGACCACGACGTGGGATGCAAACAAGAGCCTGTCTTCAAATCACAAGGAAAACAAAGAACCCAAGTTCCCTCACTCTCTGGCCCCTGACCTGGCCTCGCCAATCTCATCCTGGCAGAGGCAAACAGACTGTCGAACAGCTTCCCCTCAAAGCTGCTTAGGACGAAGATGGCTTCCGTGCACTGCTGCTTCTTGTTTGGGCATCTGAGCATCGAAACTGGAAGGTTTACAGCAGTGCGGATTTAGCACCACCGACCACACCTGTCAACAACCCCCCCCACACACACACAGCCGCACTCAGAGTCTTCGGCTCAGTTCTCCCACATCACCCACATCTCTTCGCGGAGTGTAGCAACTTCCACATTCTGAGTCCGAAAGTGGCATCGCAAGGCTGAACATGAGAGAAAGGCAAGGCCTCGCCTCGTAATCGAACCCGCCCGGCATGTTGGCAACATGATTGGACCTTTGCATCTCAGAAGCATTGTCTCGCAGGCGTGGGGTCTTTGCTACGTCGGAAACGTTGGGCAGCGGGGCATCATCTAATTTGTGCTACCTCGTCGTCTTCTTCCGCTGTTACATTGCCGTAAGGTGCTCCTAGCGGATACTAGCGAGTAGTGCCATCGCGACAGAAGCTCCTACCACTGCCACTACTACGACGACCACTTCCACTACCACTCCTGCCCCTGCCACAGCCGTTGATTTCGTGGGCAGCTCTTTCTACAAGAACGAAACTGATGCAATACCGCCCTAAGTAGGCACCAAGGCATTAAGCTGGGCCTTAAGCCTTAGGGCTTGTAATCAGGAACCCCAAAATAGTCTAGGCAATTATTTAGGCCCCTATATCATAGTACCCTTATAGTAACCCTTATAGACCCCTGTAAGGAACCTCAACATTAGTCTAGGCAACTATGTCGGCCCCTGTATCATAGTAGCCTTATAGACCCCTTTAAGGAACCCCAACAATAGTCCAGGCAATTGTTTTCGGCCCCTATAGGACCCAGAAGCACAAAGCTTCATGGCTGGGAGACAGGCTCCCGCTCGTCTTGCAGAAGCTCCTGCGACCGGTAGTGCCGAGCCCGGAGACGTCCGTAGGTACGGTATATAGTATACTATCGTCTAGTAAAGTATAGTATAGTATAGTCTTATAGAGTATTATACCGTCGTATAATACGCTATTTGGGTGCTTTCGGGGCCTTGGGCTTTGGTCGAAAAATCATCGTAGCTCCAGACCCCGGCAGCAAAGCTGAGGAAATGGGACTCGAAATCTTCAGTTTTTACCCGAAGTCGGAGAATTCTCCAATGGATTGTGCTACGGTGGGGTGGGCTATAAATTGGGGGCTGACTGAAGGGAACCGCAAGCCCAATATTTTTGGGTGGTGCTTCCGTAAGTCGAATCTGCCCTGATCTCAATCGCAGCAACAGTGACCTGGAATTTCACGGGTTAGGTGCAGGTGTTTGAAAGACTCGAACACGGCCGAATGGAAGCAAAGTCTTCCCCTTCAGATCTCTTCGCCTTCTGCTTCTTCTTCTCCCAGTAGCCAACAACCTGCCAGAACTCTGCAGTTAAACGCCTGGATCATGAGTGTCGTCAAAACATCCATGCTGCAGTGCAACTTATGAACTTAGAGAAATTGCTGAGATCAGAACCCACCGCTTGTTTGTGGCCCGGCCGGAAGTCTCTGTGTTCGGGAATTGGGGATCATCTACTTCCTCCAGGCTTGTTCCCGATTCTTCCCAAACACCTGCACCCAAACCATCGAAGTCTGTAGACGGAGGGCAGTTTCGGCCCTGACCTCCGATGGTCAAGGCACGTTTAGAACATCACCCGAACCCCTTAGCCCAAATCAAACTCGTCACCAAACCCTACACCCTGAACCCTGGGCCCAAAATCAAGTTCGTCACCAAACCCTAAACCCTAAACCCTGGGCCCAAAATCAAATGAACAGGGCGCCCAATTCACTCTGCCCGAGCGCACCCGGTAGGCGAAGCAGAGGCCGGCCTTGGATGAGCTCTCTCGGAGTGATTTTTCCCAACAGTGCTCAGTACCATGGTAGTGGCGTTTGGGGTATAGGATGCGACTCCTACTAGCTACTCTACTACTCTGGTACTAGTTGCCAGGACTAGTTACCAGGGAATCTGGCTTGCGAAAGGTCTACAGCCGTTGTCAGAGGGAGACATTGGTAGCTTTGGATTAACTTTCTCATGGTTGTTGCAGTCCAGGAATGTATTCACACCCATGTTTCCGTCATCACCCATGCCCAGAACTGCCACTGCTACCCATGGTATCGATGCTACTGGAGATGTGTGCGACAGTGACTCAATTCCCTGCCTGTTTTTCATTTGTACACATGGCATGACCGATGAAGACAGAAGCAGTGTAACTACAGCCTCTCAACTTCGCTTTTTAGTCTTCTTGCTAGAGCCAGTACTGCTTTCGAATTGGGCAGCGGCATTGTCATGTCTACAATTGTGTACAATCGGACAGCAGATTTGGCGGTGGCAGTGGCAGCAACAGAAATCACAGCAGCCACTACCAGTGGAGCAGGCCAAGGAGCCAGAGTAGGGGTGACAAGCTACATATGGGTGATTGTCAAAACAAGGGTCCTTTTTTGGGTCCTTATAAAAATACGACACCTATTTAGGGTACCCAAAAAGGGAACCTAATTTTGACAACCACCCATATGCTGACCGCCCTGTCCCGTGAGCACGAGGCCAAGAAGGCACAGAAGCCTGCTGCCAAAATACCTGCGCGGGATTCGAGCCGGAATCTCTTTGGAACGGATGCTCGATCTCAGGTGGGGCACCAACATATTAGAGACAGTCAAGCGAAAGGACAGGCATCGATATGTGCAAGTCCGATTACTTCCCAGTGGCCGCCCAAAAGCTTAAAAGTGGTGCTCCTTACTGCAGAAGTCCACTCCCGTCTGGGACGACTTACACGACAGGAAGATCAAGGCACCAATGCGACGACAGGGGCCTCCAACAACAGCCGCGGCCAATCCCATCGTGTCGATCTCATCTTCCACCTGGCAATGTTATGTTTGCTTGGGACATTGCGGTTAGAGGGTGGGTTTCACCGTCTCCCGTGGTAGATGGACATTACCCACCCAGCAGCTTGGGAATCTGTTCGCTCACAATCTCACAGGTCCATTGCGAACTCGAACTCTTTCGAGTTGGGATCTCCAAAATGTGCCAACGAGCCCCATGGGTCTTGCATTCCTGCCATTCCGGCCCCGAACTTACATAACGCAAGCTATACCCAGATTTGCACGGCAGGATCCCACCTCGGCATCAACATGCTTGCAAAAGACCCCCTTGCCGTCGGCCCTCAATTTACTTTCCAGATCTTTCCTTCGGAGAAAAGCACCAAGCGCTGTAGGATTTACGCGCTCTCCGCTGCCCGGAGGCCAGGGCAGCGTAGGCTTCGAAAGTGTTGGGCCGAAGCTCATCGTCGGCGTGATAGCACCAATTGTATCGCAGTGTTCTTGCGCTCCGCTGTAACCGTAACTGTCAGCGACATCGAGCACTACCACTCGGAATCTGGACATTACTACACTTGATTCGCTAGAACTCGGACCCATCGTTTCGATCTCTTCCGTCGACAGGATCGAGGTGTCTGCATGTAGTATGTTTGCAGTCAGGCCTCCGGAGACAGGAAATCCGTGGCATTGGTGGTGATGTTGGCCTGGACTGACTGCGGAGTCCATGCGCATCACTCTTGCACGTGTCTGTGCAACGAGTGCTGCTCTGCTTCTTGTGATTACTAGCACTGTTGATCTGATCTAAAGGTTCGGGCCAGAGTTCCCTTGAGGCTCGCATGATGGTGCTGAAGATTAGCAGCGCTTATCAGCTTCCGCTGCTGGTACTCATGTCGTTGACTTCTGTTTGTGGCTATTTTGCCTTGGGCATTGGGCCTTGGGCAAAATGAAGGCTTACGAAAGGTCATGGCATATTTGGCCTCCTGCAACACAATTATGCTACATTGAGTTCGGCACACTCGTTGTCATGGCCACCTCCCGCCGCACCACCACTATGACCAGCACCAGCACCAGCACTAGCACCGGCATGATCATCACCAGCATCATGATCAGGATCATGGCCATGACCATGAACATCATCATCATCATCATCATCATCGTCAGCGTCATCTACAAATATCAGTCACCGATCGCTGCTACGGCTGCTACGAGCAGCACCCCTGCCTGCAAAACCCCCCCGAATCTTGGGCGACCCTTTGGATCAACGGCTGTGCTTTCCAGCTCTCGTCAGTGCGAGGATCCCAACACCAACAATATGCCCCGTCAGAATTTCGAAGCTTCCTCTGCGGCCCAATGGGTGTTGGAGAGGGGCGCATTCTGGCCTTGCCCTTGCGGCCCGAAACCAAGCCCGACTAAAGGGCCGCCTCCACGACGATGACGGAGACGCTGACGGCCGGCTTCTGGCAGGCGCTCACAGCTTCGGAAACTGCTCAGCTTCGACTTGGGGTGCTTTCGAATTAATTGGTTGGGCTTTAGCGACTCCCGTGTGGCAGAACTGCTCAGGAGCGAGACTTCCTTCCCGGGGCTGTCGTTGAACACCTACCCCTGGCAAGTTGCCAATCGGGCCGTCACAGACGACCTTCCGACTTTTACGTCATCCTTGCGCACTCCGGGATCAGAGGCTCCGACGGCGCCGAATGATAGACTGCAAAGCTGGCAATCGAAGCCCGTTACTGCTGAACATCTACGAAGTCGGAGCTGAGGTCTGCATCTTGTTCATGGACAATGCAGTGCTTCGTGATTTGTATGAATAGTGTGGAGGGTGGCGCATGCCCTCTGGACTCCAACCCCCCTGAAGTGTACTCAATTTCTGACCCAAGATCGCCGCTTGAACTGAAAGATCAAACTGCAAAGCTCCACCCTGAACCCCGAAGCTAGCCTAGTCTGTTGGATTCTGAACTCGAACCCATTGTACAACCTTATTCCTTCTGCAGACACTATACAACCAGGGCACCGTAGACTCCGACCGCCCTGGTCAATACTAGCTAGGCACCTTTATCCATGGTTGATATTGCATTGCGAGTAAGACGCTTGCCAAGCGCCTTGGTGTACTTCACCTGCACTCCATTGTCCTCCACGGCCTTCTGCGTCTCTGCTTCGGCTTCGATTGCGGCCCAGACACTGCTTGTTTCTTCTTCTTGCTGTTCAATTTTAGTTTCAATACATTTTCCATCTTTATGACTGGAATACTATTGCTCGTATTGCTACTATTATTATGTGTACTATTCTTCTTTGGGCTCCTGGTTCAAGCATGAGTTTGGTTTGCAGTCTTGTTTGCATCTCATCGTCACGGGCGGAGGGCATCCCATCATGGGCTAAGGAACCTCCCTCCGCAGGTCAGATATAGTACGCTGGTACGAGTTGCAGACGGCCGGGGGTGTCGTAAGCCATGAGTTCATGCAAAGCACCTCGATGCGGACATGAGGATAGTGTTGCTGGCTTCTTTTCGATCCCAATCTTGACCAAATCGCACCACGAAGTGGCTATCACCGCCGCAGTGTCTCCCATGTCCGAAAACCAGAATGGCCCACAGCACAGACTCCAAAACCTCCTGCAAAGCTCTCGACACTTCGTCACTTCCTTGCTGCACTTGATGCAGACCTGAGACCGCGACCATCCAAAAACTCTACTCCTCGCAAATCCATCAAGCCCTGAACCCTTGAACCCCGAAGCCCTAAACTCGGGATCCAACTCCTTCCGCCCTGACCAGAGATGCGGCGCCTGGGCTGCCTGAGTGAGGGCTGCAGCGCTAGGATCCGCAGCAGCAGCCTCCTAGGAAGGTAGCATAAGGGTCTTCATCATTTGAAGCGGGTTCCACTACTCTTCCTTGAAGGGTTACTATAAAGGTCTAGTGTCGGGGCCTTAAGTTTGGAATAGTGGAATAGGGGTTTGGGGGAGAGTATAGTATGATTACAGAGAAACTGTGAGGGGATACTACTCCTCGTTTCCAGACCTCTATATTGCGAGGTTCAAGACGTCTTTCTTAGATGAGGGACTTGGGTTTAAGGCTTCTTTGGTTCAGTCTATTTAGGGCTTGCGGATAGTCTGCAGCTTCTGACAAAGTCGATTGCGATGCTCGGCGTTCAGCTCCCTGCTCGCAGACTCTTGTGTCAGAGAACTGAACCGGAAAAACAGCAACACTACTGCTGCTACTGCCGATGATGATGCTGCTGATGATGAATGACAGTGGTGTGCTGCGGCATGCCATAGTGGTGCGTAGTGACCTCGGTTCTACCTATAAAGGAGTCATTCAAGCCAACTTTTCGCATCCCGGAATAGATACCAGGAAAGCAGATCATCGTACATCCTCAGCCCTAAGCTGACCTCTGCAAGCCAATGCTGTGGACCCGACTCCCCTTATATAGGGGCCTTAAAAATTAGTATAGGGTTTCGGGCCCATTATACTATAATCATAATACGGAACCACCCAACATAGCATGGGTAATTATTTAGGTCCTTATACTATTATAGTAGCCTTATCGTATCCCTTATAGACCCCTTTAAGGATCCCTTTAAAGGGCCCCGAAATCTACACCCTAAACCCTAAACCCTACACCCTGTAGCCCCAGATCCCTAGGTTGCGGCTCCTGTAGGTTCGGGCCCAAGCTCGAGGCAAAAGCCTGCTGCCTCATTGGAGCGGGGCGGAAGAAGGGGGAAGGGGTGTTGGGCAGTTTTGTATGTAGTAGAATCGCGGTGTTTAGGGCTGAGTGTATAATGCCATTCTGCATTTTTCCGTAATGCATTGGCATTGCACATTTTCTGCTATACCATGTCGCAACATGTGCCCTCAAACACTAGTGTGTGTTCTTGCATTTCGCGACGTCATGTAAGTTGGTGTAAGTTTACGTCAAACGTTGTTCTGGGTTCTTGGGAACGCATACCCCGGTCGTAAGCATCACATCAGACATTAAGCTCGTCTTTTCTCCCATGGTGCTCTGGCTGCACTTTAGCTGAAACTCATGGGCTCCTATGACAGCAATACCTTGCATCAGGATTGTTGTTTTGTGTGATTTCGGGCACCGCAACTTCACTCGTTATCTTCAGGAACTGCACTTCTCGTCCCAGGCTCTCTGACGAGACAAGGTTGCGTCAGGTTCAAGTTAAGGTACTGAGGGTCGGTTCTGAACGGGGACGTCTCATGTTTCATGCTTTGGGATCTTCAGTCCAAGACGCTTTTAGTCGCCCGCTATTTTTTGCAAATGAGGCCACGATGCCGAAACAGTGGAGATTTGGCGGAGCTTAGGACCGTCGAGGAAGGATGATGTGACAGGGAACACTCTTCGGTGTACGTGGCCGTAGGTGCAGCTGGGACATTGCGTTTACATTTTGAGTATACGCTTCATGTGATGCTCACACTCGAGCTGCGGCATTGGCATGGTGTGGATCCTGCTACGAGCCCAAACTAGCCTTTCAGGACGATCACTCCCGAGCTCCATCAGTCGCTCTTAGCGCTGCGCTCGGATGATGTAGGATCACCCAACTTCTCGATCTTATCGGTCAAGCCTGCGAGGTGACAAGAAGAAGAATAACACGAATACTAACAATAACAACAACGACATAACGGTCCTGCTCCGAAACTGATTTCAGTCAACTCGTAGAATGCGGTAGCTTCTGTAAGCGCGGAGCGAAGCCCCAACTCACTCTTTCAGGGAGTGCATTTTATGCAAGCGGAACAAAGATTGCAATACAGAAGCCTGAAAAACTCCAAGTCATACCAGTATCATTTCAGAGGTGTTCTTTTTCTCATTGTCAATAGTTCTACTATAATAATGCTATATTTCAAAACCCCAGTATCCCAGCATCCTAGCCCTGCACGCAAGTCGTAACCTAAAGGAAAACCTTTCAACCAGTCGCTTTGGGTATCCGGACCCGCTGTGGAATCAGCCTGGCACAGGTGATGCCGAGAATACAGAATGCCACCCAGCCATGCATTATGGATAATTACTCATCTTGATGTCGGTTGTCTTGTCCTTTCCGTCGATTTCGTCTCTCCCAACGCTGGCAGCTGTCGCTATCGTCACCAGTGTTGCGGCAAGCTTGGGTTTATCTGTGATGGGCGGATATAACAACACTAAGTAACGCTGTAGCTTTTTAACCTCTCGTGTTCGAATTCGGGAACTCTTGCCGCTGACTAGTCATGCACGTTGACATCATGATTCATACATAAATATATGTCGCATATCGGTAAATTACTACAGTTGTGCGTAGGAATATTGTGCATCGACTCGGCTACTGAAAGTGCGTTGACCCCGCATCACCATGCCCACTTCCCTGTACGATAATCTTGCCAGGCACATCGGCTTCCAGTGTGCGAAGCTGGAACTCGACGTTCACTTCGAAGGCACCGCCCTAGAGTCAAAGATTTGAGGGTTTAGGGGTTTACGGGTCTAAGGAGAGCCCCGTCAACGATCGCGACCCAAACCCGAGAACAAGCTGAGGCCTAGAGAACAACAGCGAGTACTTGCCTGCGCGCAGCATGGATCGTGTGGCACCACCGACTCCCCCATATCCCTAGAACACAACAAGCAGAAGCCATGAATCTCCAAGTTGAGTCATCCCAAGACGTCTTTCGGCCAGCCCGCGAGCAGACGAAGACAGCACGGTCCCTCAAGTCTCTTTGGCCGTACTCTGCTACCAGCTACTATTACCTTTAAACCAGGTGCACCGACAAAGGGCCGCACTGCAGTGGTTTGTAATGTCTCTTGTCCAGGCTCTTGCATGAAACGCCTCCAAGATCCTCCAACCAAGCATAAGCAAGTGAGTAGATGTCGCCTGTGGCTCCGACACAGGGCCTACCCACTCGAAGTCGACGGGCCTCAAGGGTGCTGCAAGGTGCACACACACGGAGGTGCACTGTACAAACTACAAACTAGGCTCTTCGCAAGAGGCCCTGTACAAGAGAGGCTTCTGTACCAGGCTGTCAGCGTAGCTGAGCAGCCCTATGCTGGCAGAAGCGAAAACTGAGCATCTCATTTGCCCTGCTTCATCATCAAGGAGCGCTTCTTCTGCGTCTTCTGCATCTGGGTTTCCTGAACAGAAAAGACACAATCACCCAACCTCTCGTGTGCACTCAGCTGAAAGCAGCAGCAGCAGCAGTCTGCGCGTTCGGGTTTTCGAGTGTAGGAAAGTCGGCCTCATCACCATTGGGCTTCCAAAGCCCACGGTGAAGGACTTCTGCAGCTGCATCATGAACCTGGGGGGATTTTTCGTGCAGGGATGGTACAGTCAGGGATCGTCGCCGAAGTTACTGCATGCTTCAAGTGGTTCGTTCCTTCGCGACAACATTCAGTAGAAGATATGCCAAGGGCTCTTAAACAGGGGCCGAAGAGCCTTCTCCCAGCCGTGGAAGCGGCCGCGCTGGCTCAGCGTGCCGACAGCATTTGGGAACGCATGATGGACCTCATCTTTTTTTAACACTTGCATTTGGCCGAATGCCATCGTACAGTTACTCGGATCCTGGAACTCGCAGAAAGATTCCAAAACGGCTGAGCCGCATCGTGGAAGAGCATCTCGTTCCAGCGGTGCTTTCCTGGAGCCAACCCCAAGCAAAAAAAGAACGAACAAGCACAAGCCTTGAGCTTCTCTCCAAACCCTCTGAGTCGTGACTCCTCCAAGGACCATGGCCATCACGTTATGAAGGACAGGCCAGGTGCGGCCCGGATCCTGTGCCAGGAACTCGTTCCAAGGCAAGCCTGGGCCGTAACATCTTTTTTTTCAGGGTTTGATTTTGTGAAGCCCTTTTTCAACTAGCAGGAGGAGACTGTCAGACGGGCCTGCTAAGAGAGCTCCAGATGTAATTTAGAATCACATCGGTGGTATTGTTGATCGGAATAGTGTTTTGAACCAAGCTATAACACGAAAACCTATGGAATAATGTTGGTAATCATGTAGGCGCCGCCCACATTAGCCACGGGTGGTAACTTTTGGTTTTGAGGTTTCGGTCGGGGTTACCCTAGCACAAGGTTTAGGCTTCGGGCTTAGGGTGAACTCTAAGACCAAACGGGAAACTCAACATAATCCCAAATTGAAGCCGACTAGAAGCTATGAGTGAAGTTGGTGATGAACATCCAGGCCGCGGAGTAGCCGATGCGAGCGAAGACGGACACGGTGAACATGAACCGCCAGCCCTCGCTCAGAGGACGTCCCAGAGGGTAGGTGCCGAGCAGCCACACGCACGCCCACAGGGAGAGCACGAAGGCATTGTGCTTGACGCGGCGTGGAATCCACTTGCTCCAAAACCTCAGCGTGAAGAGACTCTGCATGGAAGCAAGAAACATGACCGGCGCCATGAGGTGGCCTTGCTCCGAACTGTCAAGACCAATTCTGAAACTAGCCAGTCAAGCCGGGAAGCTCCTTGTTGCACTTGCCACCTGCGCCCTCGTCGGGAAAGTGCATCCACCACTCCAAGGCGAACAGGGAGCCGGTGTCGTTCAGGCCAAAGAAGTGGATCACAGGGATGAAAGGCACGGTGAGCAGGTACTTGTACCAGTTGGAGCTCCATGGCCCGGCCCACTGCTGCAGGGCGTAGTGGAACTCCTCGGGGTCCCATCCGAATTCACCCTGGATCAGCAAGTCCACAGTTGAGGCATGATGCCTGTTGTGCTCGAGGACGAATTCCTCCCACGGCAAGCTGAAGAAGTCAGCAAAGGGGTGAGTCAAAAAACGCTGCCACTCGTACACCGGGAAAGTGGCACCATGCATCACATCGTGATCGATGTAGATGTTCTGGATGGCGATGTACGAGAAGGGGATCCCGAAGCAAAGCGTGCAGGTCCACCAGTAGTCTGGAAAGCAAGCCAATGCTGCACAGTAGCCGATCACCATCAACACTTGGGTAAAGAAAATTGCCGTAAGTACATTCCACCTATAGTTGGGACAATAAGAAAATGTAAACTTCTATTCCTTATTGGGTTAAGTACCCATAAACATGCAAAAAGCTACCCAACTATGACAAGGCTCATATAGATCATTTGCTCCTGCAGCGATTTTGAAGGGTTTCCCAAAGGATCTGCTCAGTGGGCTTAAACATTTACGGGGACCTTCACTTCCTATCTTGCATCCGTCGACATGGAGCGAGTTGAATTTATGAGCAAGCGCAGCATCCCGGTCCGGCGTGATCTTGGTGAAGAGGAATGCCAAGTTTTGCGGCATCGGGTCTGGCTTGTTCGGAGTCGGGAAGAGCCGATTGGTCTTCAAGCTCCTGTTCTCGTCGTTCTTCTGAACGGAGAGCATCTTGTCGTTGCTCTGGGCAACGCCTGCCGCGTTAGGATCTCCCTCGCCCGGCAGCGCATTCTTGAGGGCAGCAATTTCGTGGTCGTGCTCGTACTTCTTCTTAAGCTCCTGATGTGTTTTTGTTTTTTTGGTGTATTTTTTCATGCCCAAAATACTCACAGTACAAATAGCAGTACTAATACCAATAGACACTTACTCAGCTCCTCAAGGTACTCGTCTGCTCCATAGAAGATCGATGCCTTGCTGTGGGCGGCCTTGCCCTGCTTGCCCAGCAGAGGGGCGCTGGTCGCCATGGGCACAATGGCAACTGAAAATTAAAAGATCGGTTTTGACTTCGAGCCTTCTCAAGTCTGGCCTGCCAGCTGAAGTCAAGCCAAAGTCAAAGTCAAAGCCAAGTCGTGCGGCGAAGTCCCGCGAAAGCTTTTTGCAAAGTCTCTTGTCCAGGCTGCCTGACACGCCTCGAACCAAGTACAAACGAGGGGGTAGCTGCGGCCAGCGTCTCCGACGCAGGGCACACGCACAGAGGTGTACTGTACAAACCAGGCCCTTCGCAAGAGGCCCTGTACAAGAGAGGCTTCTATACCAGGCTGTCAGCATAGCTGAGCAGCCCTATGGCTGGCAGAAGCGAAAACTGAGCATCTCATTTGCCCTGCTTCATCATCAAGGAGCGCTTCTTCTGCGTCTTCTGCATCTGGGTTTCCTGAACAGAAAAGACACAATCACCCAACCTCTCGTGCACTCAGCTGAAAGCAGCAGCAGCAGCAGTCTGCGCGTTCGGGTTTTCGAGTGTAGGAAAGTCTGCCTCATCACCATTGGGCTTCCAAAGCCCACGGTGAAGGACTTCTGCAGCTGCATCATGAACCTGGGGGATGTGAGGTGCAGGGATGGTACAGTCAGGGATCGTCGCCGAAGTTACTGCATCCTTCAAGTGGTTCGTTCCTTCGCGACAACATTCAGTAGAAGATATGCCAAGGGCTCTTAAACAGGGGCCGAAGAGCCTTCTCCCAGCCGTGGAAGCGGCCGCGCTGGCTCAGCGTGCCGACAGCATTTGGGAACGCATGATGGACCTCATCTTTTTTTAACACTTGCATTTGGCCGAATGCCATCGTACAGTTACTCGGATCCTGGAACTCGCAGAAAGATTCCAAAACGGCTGAGCCGCATCGTGGAAGAGCATCTCGTTCCAGCGGTGCTTTCCTGGAGCCAACCCCAAGCAGAAAAGGAACGAACAAGCACAAGCCTTGAGCTTCTCTCCAAACCCGCTGAGTCGTGACTCCTCCAAGGACCATGGCCATCACGTTGTGAAGGACAGGCCAGGTGCGGCCCGGATCCTGTGCCAGGAACTCGTTCCAAGGCAAGCCTGGGCCGTAACATCTTTTTTTTCAGGGTTTGATTTTGTGAAGCCCTTTTTCAACTAGCAGGAGGAGACTGTCAGACGGGCCTGCTAAGAGAGCTCCAGATGTAATTTAGAATCACATCGGTGGTATTGTTGATCGGAATAGTGTTTTGAACCAAGCTATAACACGAAAACCTATGGAATAATGTTGGTAATCATGTAGGCGCCGCCCACATTAGCCACGGGTGGTAACTTTTGGTTTTGAGGTTTCGGTCGGGGTTACCCTAGCACAAGGTTTAGGCTTCGGGCTTAGGGTGAACTCTAAGACCAAACGGGAAACTCAACATAATCCCAAATTGAAGCCGCCTAGAAGCTATGCGTGAAGTTGGTGATGAACATCCAGGCCGCGGAGTAGCCGATGCGAGCGAAGACGGACACGGTGAACATGAACCGCCAGCCCTCGCTCAGAGGACGTCCCAGAGGGTAGGTGCCGAGCAGCCACACGCACGCCCACAGGGAGAGCACGAAGGCATTGTGCTTGACGCGGCGTGGAATCCACTTGCTCCAAAACCTCAGCGTGAAGAGACTCTGCATGGAAGCAAGAAACATGACCGGCGCCATGAGGTGGCCTTGCTCCGAACTGTCAAGACCAATTCTGAAACTAGCCAGTCAAGCCGGGAAGCTCCTTGTTGCACTTGCCACCTGCGCCCTCGTCGGGAAAGTGCATCCACCACTCCAAGGCGAACAGGGAGCCGGTGTCGTTCAGGCCAAAGAAGTGGAT